GCTAGGATGACGTCGCCGTTGGAGGTGACGTTGGCAAAAGCGTACATAACATGGGTCAGTTTATCGACGGGGATTTCCTGCGGAGTGTGGTTCCTGGAGTAGATTGCCTTTTATCAATCAGTATAACACCAAAGAGATGTATCGATAGGCGGATGAGGTGACTTACCCAGCTAACAAAGTAAGCAATGGACTTGTATTCCGTGCTGGTGTTGCGCGGTATCAGGTGGTGGGTGCCAGGCTCAAGGTGGCTAGGTCCGGGAAATTTAGCTGGATCAAGACCACTAATGCTGTGGCGGTGGCGGTGATGGTGAGCACTGCTGACCACCGAGACCAAGACCACAAGTAGAAGAGAAAAAAGCTTCATGTTACAAGAAGAAAGATCCAAAAATGATCAACAAGAATGGAATAGAATGGGTGAATAGAGAGGTTGAAGGAGGGTCAGCCTTGATATAGCAAGACAAGATTGAGAAGGAATGTAAATGCAGAGCGAACCAGTCGACATGTAGTGCAGGTAGAGAGTGACGGAGGGTCATCTGCTCGCATACTTATATTCATTCTCTGTTTGTCTGTCTGTGCTGCTGATGTGCTTGAAGAAATCTGTCACCAGCGGTGAAAGCAGACTTGCATGAATGTAACCACAACATTTTTGTGAATGACTTCAAAGAGGTCACCAACCATCTTCCCCTGTCAGCACACAATCTATTGGCCTGGTAATTGGAAAGAATTAACAATGGGGACTGATGGTGTTTGAAACATGACAAGTGTTTTGATCCATGGTCATTCTTGCCATATTAGGTCTATATGAGACTTCATCTGCCGATTTGATGCGCGCGCGGAGGGTAGGTGTGCTACTATAACATTAATGAAGGCCTAACGCCGTGAAAACATCGACAGGATCCATATATTAACTAGTGAAGACATTCTGGAGTAAGCTACCACCTCATAAATGGAGATATATTTCCGGTCTGGCAGGACTGGCTCGCTCAACAGTGTGCCTGCACCAGGTGTTGCAGGCACTGTGGAAGAAGACCGAAGAGGGAGTGGCTGACCCGCACACAAATTGGAGGGGCTTGTGTAACCCTGCAATAAAGTGGGAATAGCCTCGCCGAGAACCGGATCAGGCAGGCCGATGCAGGTCCCGCCTTTGTTCGGAGGTTGGTTACCCCGGAATATGAGTGGGGCCTGAAACGCTAGGTGGATGGGGTGATTGGATATACCCTTAGCATCAGAGAATACTTGTGAGAGAGAAAATGATTATGAGGTCTAGTTAATTCAAGTCTCTTTCTACTGCTGGTCTATACTGAGTGTAATAACCTATATAATAGGTCGCCGCATGTATTCGTATTCTAGTGATTCAATGTCTGCATAGCCACCAGAAAACATCATCTGAGGCTCGAGTGGACTATAATAGAACTCATCAATCAATAACGGAGCTGAAACCCTACACTTCGCCACTGTCAGTGCATTCATCTGGCGTCTGGCTGAAACCCCCCCTACAGGTTGACGAAAGAGGGTGCTGCGTACGTCCGGATCTCGGTCGTTGAGCAATTTAATCTATCATAGGAGATGGATTGGAAAGGTAATCAAATGTAGTAGTGCTTTGCATTGCTTATAAGTTGAAAATGATGTTCAAGATGAGGATGAGTTTCTAGTTACATATGTACGTACTCCGCGGACCCTACCCCCCGTAATGGGAAGGTGCCCGTGGCAGAGGGATTGTTGGTCATAATTCAATTCCAACGACTATATTCATTCATTGATTAATTAAGTATAAAGGGATTCCATTCCCTAATCAAGCCATATGCAATGCCTGGTAAATCAACATCATGCTGGGTATCCCCGAATGACAAACTTTTTCTGCTCATACTTTGCAAACCTGGGTATATTGTAACCACATGAAACCAAAACGCCAATAGAAGAGAAAGAAAGAACGTAACATCTGGGTCCACCCCTGGGAATTATGTGTTGCCTTGGCAGCACCGCAGTAGCAGGGCGCCCCTAAACTCTAACGCTGCCGGAGTTGGTCACCGATGGTGGTAACATTCTCGAGCGGTCAGGAGGCAGGTTGGAAACCTGGACAGACGTGTACGCGGGTGGTGCAATAGGGACGAGCTCGGAGACAGATGGGGGCGCAATACTGCGAGGGCTGAAAAATTGCGTGTTCACTTCATCCTGGGAAATGTCGACCACGGTGCCCTTAGTTCCGGTGCCTGGCCGCGCTTCGCAGGTCAGCTGAAGTGGGACCTTCAGGGATGCGGTGGGCGTCAGGATTCTGGAATTAGCGGCGTGGTAAGAGATGCTAAGTTCCAGGGCGTAGGCGCGTGCGATCAAACAGGAGTAGAACGTCGGCACAAATGACTTGGCTTTGGGGAGGGTGACTGGCACAACGACCGACGCGGTATAGTAGGTGTTTCCGGCGAACGAGGCTGATGGACTCGGCAATGAGTCAGTAGACGAGGTCGAGTGCATGGAGTCACGGCGTTCGAGATCGGTGTCGGTGTGTTTGGTCCATTGTGCGGATGCAACGCACATGGTGGACAGTGGTACAGTTTCGGTGTACATTGCGCGGCCCATCTGCGCCCAGGATTTGATACAGGCGGCGGACGGATAATCTCCCCAGGGATCAGAGCTGTAGAAAGTCGACACTCGGAGTTTGCTCCAGACAGTGCCTAGGCGAGGGGGCTGCTCGTCGCCTACCGGATCGAAGCGTAGCTGCATTGTGGCAACGGTGCTCACCGAATCGCAGTTCCCAGTGTCGGATGGAGTCAACTGCACTGGCTTGGGCTGTGCGGCAGCCAGCACCAATCGGCCCAACTTCCCCCTCATTAAGCCACGTTTCACATCCTTTTCTTTGCGGACGCTGTACAAGCCATCATTGTCCTCCACATTAAGGGGTGGTTCCTCATCCACCGCAGGAATGACCCGCACCTTTTTCCCAACGGACACTAGCGTTACCGGGGAGGCGTTCTGGGCCATGGGCTTTCTCTGGAGGGTCACACGAACGAGATAGGAGATGCGGCACATTTCGGGGGCCATGTCGTCGATGACCGATTTGCGGTTGCTGGCTATCATAGGATCACCAAACGAGGGTGGCAGCAGCGTGTGCGATTGTTCGACATGCAGATTGGTTTTGGCGTGGTTACAGATATGGGGCAGTAGACGCTCAGGTACCACAAAGGTGAAAGGAAACTCATAGTTGCGCCCGGGTTCAAGAACCCGGGGGGTGGGATATGCGGACTCATCGATGGGCTGTCGCAGTCGGAGGAATGTATGGTAAGCCCCAGTCCGGCCGGGCATCGATTGGCGCTCCACCGAGGTCCTCGAAGTTCCTGAGCCAGTCAGTATGACTATCCCTGGTATTCTCCTGGTATTCCTTGAGCCAACATACCCTCGAATGTAATCTCTAGGTCATCAAAGCGAGTATCATGATCGACCGTGATGGTAACCGTACCCTTGATGGTGTCTCCGGTGGTGAATGAAGGGACCAAGCCATCCGTTTGATTGGCGAGAATAATATCGACCTTAGGGCGGGAGCGAACCGTAAAGTTGGCAAGGGAGCTGGAGCCGCGCGTGATGATCGATGAGGTAGCCATTGCAGGTATAGAAGATCCAATTGTATGTATACAAAGGAACCCGCGGTGGTAGCTGTTGGTAGTATAGAAGGGGATTGGCGAACGAATCACCAATTCACCCAGGGATAAGCAACTGGTAGGGTTGTAGTGGGAGACTGCAATGATGGAGAAAGGAAAATCTGGGCAGAAAGACTGCGGAGTAAAAGCTTTTTTTTATATTTAATGTCCTCTGAATAAAAGGAGATAATAAAAAATAGAAAACAGTAATAAAAAAAGAATAAAAATTCTAGGGTGAATGTAGGGATGGGGTGACTGGCAGTTGCCGTTGGGTAATGGAAAAGCAGCGGTGGAGCAGTTCAATGTTCGAGAACTGGATCTGATGCTGTTCAGGAACAACTTCCGGTTTTGTTATTTGAGTCTCTGGCTATTCTCGGGCTTGCATTGCAACCTGGCTTGAATATGTACTTTTTTCACTTCCAACTTGACGATGCAAGAATCCCCTAACTCTCCTCCTGCACTCCGTCCACCCCTTCTGTGAGTCATGCTGAACATGCACGTGCACGTGGTGATTGCTTTGATATTCGATCCAAGGGGATGTTAGAAGCGGTCCAGAAACATGCGGGTTAGGGGACCGAAAGAACAAGAAAAGCCTAAAAACGAAGCGCCCGAGCCAGCTGATAGGTCGACGAGCATCCTGCACGGGGACTGACCAATGCGATGGAGTCCATGGAATGAAGTCCGTGTGTGAAGTCAGTTGCTCGGGAAAGCAGCGATTGGCGGGCTTCCCATCGCGCCCTTTGATGACAACTGCCGACCAGCAAAGCCCTCCACGCCCTACAGCAAATTGGCTCGTAACCAGGTTCATGCCCACCAGAGGAATGCGAATGACGCCAGTGCTAGCTGATCTTCCATGATTGTCGGTCTACTAGAACTACTTTGATTAATTTGCAGGGTTGTTCTATACGCGTCTATCCTCTTAAGAGTTTGGTCTACCTGCAAGAGTCGGGTCACAACAGCTCGAACATTCTTGACGAGCAGTCCCCTCGCGTGATAGTGGTAGATCTCACGCCATTGAGTTAAGGACCTTCTGATCCTTACGCGAAAGAAACAACCCCCATTCAGCCAGTCGTTCATTAGTGTTGAACTTCGTGACTTGTCAGCCTGTTCGTGTCCAAGTGCTTGCGACATCGGAGCGACAAAAGACCATCCAGTCAAGTTCTCGGGTGATCGGCGAAGGTTTTTGATGACGACGGATGGATCCAAGTCCACGCCCTTGAAGTGACAACGTTGGCAAGCCACCGGGGTAAAAAGCCCATCCCGATTGGCGCTGACCGCCGTGTTCTTCTGACCAGTCACTCCAGCTGGTTCGCATCGCTATTTTAGGTTGGTTCCGACCCTCGCTTGCTTTTAATTCAATGCGCCTTTCAATGCACCCTGACACAATCTATCATCAAATCTTCGCGATGAACTACTATCAATTTAAAACTAGCGACCAAGGACAAACTCGGCTTCTATAGAGTCCACATCGGTTTCCCGGCCCCGTTCTCTCTTCATTCCGCACCCAAGCGAGAATAGCCGCGCCGGGTTGCTCCAGACTTTTCCGCTCTTAACCGCAATCAGGGCCTTTTTTTCTTCACGGAATTTCCGCCTCCTGAGCTCGTGGAGCTCTTAATGGCTTTAAAATTTCTGGGACCTCCCGTTCTATGTATGGAGTACCCGCTCTGGATCTCCGATTCCACTCCACTGGTGCCACCCTTTTGATGCTGTTCTTCGCCTAGAAACGGGCCGGTTGGGCGCTTTTCCGTCCCTGTTTTCCGCGGCCAACATCTATACCGAGGGTGCTGTTCGCAGATTTTGCATCCTATATCAATGGGCTTACAACCTAGGTTTATTAGTTGCAACAAACAATACGGGAGTAACCTAATGCCAAACCGGGACTGTTATATGCAATTCAAAAAGACAGAATCGGGATCCCGAACGGGTCTTCAATTGCTGACCATGGAGCACATGCACATCACAATCACTCCAGCTAATGACAATACGCACAGCAAAGTAACTCCGAGGTCTGATCTGCATAATGCGCGCATTAGCCGTCGTACCAAGCTTTGAATGTCGGAAAATTAAGACCACAGTGCCAAGGCGATACCGAATAGGAAGGTCGTTTTACTTACCTGCACAGTTGCATATTAATGGCCTATGATTGGTAGCAATACTTTGGGCATAGAGAGACACTAGTACCTCGTCTTACTGGAATGCTTGACTGGGATCTAGGTGTCCAGTGAAGACTAGACATGCGCACTGTCATATCAATGCATGAATGGAGAGAATCTAGACTTCAACTCAATGCAGTATATTAACTAGTCGGTCGATCGGGTCAATTCCAGAAGGAACCTTGTGCCCAACCACCGTCCACAACTATCTGATTGCAATCACTTGACAGCACACATAGCCAGAGCAAGCTGAGGATAAGACATTAACAGTAATAACATACATTGTGATCTACTACTATTGACGGATGCGTGCGTTCAGCTCAGTGCATTGACAGTTTTCTGATAGTAATTGAGTACTAGTAGACTAAACAGAGCCAAAGCTATGGTATAATAATATACATCGTGGACCTCTCGGAAAAGACAGGCTACCGTAACAAACATGACTGCATACCAGAGCCACAAATGAATTCATGCAGACACTATCATTTAGAATATTGGTATTCCTTTGGGCCTTGCCTGCAGTGGCATAATGGTAGATTATCACCAGGAAGGCTATACTTATACGAGAAGAGGTACGGGGCCTTCTTCTTGGTGCTTAGAGACTACAGAATCAAATTCTATTGCGGGCATCTACTCTACCCGGAGATATCTGTGTAAAAAGATTCTAGGAGAAGTCGCCGCAAATATCTGTCTGTATAAAAGCTTCTGGACTTTATACAAGGATCTGTCCATTCATTTGTTATATTGGAATTCTATTACAGAGCTGGGACGCTTTGAGACCAGGCAGGGAGTATGACTTATATAGCAGCACACGCAATCAGGCGGCTGCATTAGGTTAAAGAATATAAATTGAACACAAACTTAACTAAAAAACTACTACCCTCAAGCCTGACAGCTACCGACCCGCATGTCATGGAGGAATTGGATGGTTCATCTCACTTCGGCAGCCAAAGCGATCGCCTCGAGATATATTTTGCAGTTGCGAGATATTATCGTTTGCTGGGACTCTTTCCACCGCAGCTCTAGCACGGCGCACTTTATCGCAATACCGTTGAGGTTTTGCCTTCGGAGGAGGGGCTGGTACCAATATTTTCCATAATGTTGTTGTAAGTAAGATTCTAAAATGAATGGAGTAATCAGAGGAGCTAGAATCTTAGCTATAATAAAAGTCTGCGGAGAAAGGTTGGTGGCGATGTGGTGTCGGGGAATTCAATCGCCAGAAGACACTGTTCCTGCCTCTTGCTTCTACAGGACCTCTGCCTACAGTCTTTCCTTCCTCCTCTGCGGACCTGAACTTACATACGGATACCTTCAGTCAAGATATAATGCAACGTGGATCATTTCGCTTTTAAAATCAACAGAGCCGGTGGGATAGAGAGCCATCACAACGCGACATTAGTTAAACTCCGGCGCAGCCCCCTGGATCTTGATATAAGCCTGCTGAACCTCCTTCCGACCCGTCATCACCCGCAGCCACTGCGTAATAAGAGGGTACTTCTCCAGCGACAATCCGGCAAAATCAAACTCTCGCACCCAAGGCTCAAAGTGGTAGTCAACGGCTGTAATCCGTCCAGGCAAGACACTCTGCCCGCCGGACTTCTTCAGCTGGCCCTCCAGCACCCCATAGCATCGCTCCGTCTGCGCCGCATACCGTTGCAGAGCATCCTCGTTCTTAGTCCCATTATAGTGCCTGATCCTTATCAGCAAGGAAGTCCAAAATCCCTCCTCACATATCCTGATAAGTAGAGAAAGATTACTACTGCATACCTATACCAATTCGTCTGCCCTGTCATCGGCCCGAGCGTCGAAAGCAAAAAGTACTCCCACTTTTCAAAATCCACTCTATCCTGCTCCGACCCCTTCGGACCCAGAAGATTGTCCTTGTCATAGATGCGCCGGACGTAGTTCATAACAGCGCCCGATTCCCACGACACCACACCAGTGTTGGGGTCTTCAAGGGCAGGTACACGGCCGTTCTCGTTGATTTTGAGGAAGACCTCACCCTTAACACCCTTTTCGCGGTCATCGCCGAATTCCCATAGTTTGACGTTGTAGGGAACTTGCAGGGCTTCGAGGGCGATGGCGATCTTGATGGGGTTAGGGCCCGTGGCGTGCGCGTGAAGGAGGAGTGGTTGCATTTTGGGTGGTTGATTACTTCTTCCTGTAAAGTTGGAGTAATCAGGAAGTTGGATTAAGGTTGCAATAGAAGAAAGGGTATTGCCGTACTTTATAGTGGGGTTGTTGAAAGGGCATTTGGAGTAACAGTTGCTGTGAACAAAGTGGTGGTGACATCATTTTACTTGAAAACGGATGTCGAGTATGGGTGCCCAAAACTGACGTGTTCGAAAGGGTCAAACGACCTTCTCCGATCTGCATACCACATAAAATGATTGATGTGACTTGCATATGAGGTGGGGTAGGTACATGTTGGAGAAGGATCTGGGGTATGTTTTCCGCTTTCGGTGGTGAAGGTGGTCTTGGCAGTCATTCCGTCGATTCGAAATTCAGAAGAAGCGACATGAGGGAGTCAACTGCTAACGAGGCTAGGACCATCGTAATTACTGGCAGATATATACTGGCTCGTAGGATGCTCAGGTACATCCTGAAAGAGGCAGTCTCACTATACTTGTAAGACTTGACGGGTCGCAAAGGCATCCCTCGACAACTTTATGGAATTTAGAAGTCTCCCAGTCTGGAAAGGCGAAGTGGCGAAATGGCGAAGAGTGGGAAGAATAGGTGGGATATACTAGGTAAAATCGTATCAAGACTGATGGCATGTATCTTCCTTAGATAGCGCAGTACTTCCCTCTTCATCGTCCTTCTTTCCAAATATACGCCGGACATTTGAAAGCGGCCTCGTATAGGTCAATTAGTCATAGGACGCGGGGGTGAGAACAGACCGAGAGATCAGGAAGTCGTAAGTACGTTAAGAGGGAGAAGTATAGACAGTTTGAAAAGTAGTAGGCTTCAATAGTCTAATATAACAGGTATATGATCACTCGAACAGAAAGCGACGAAAAGTCCTGTAACTTTTATTTACAAGCACCAACCAAGATACGCCAAACATCCAAGTCTAGATAGTAAAATGTACTCACGATCAGGTCAACATGTCATCCAACCGCTCACCCAGAACATCCTCGATCTGCTTCACCCATTTGCGGACCTCTCTCTCCACGTTCTCGTCCTCGTCCTCCATCAGTTCACTGATGTAGGGCAGCATTTCAGGCAGGAGAGCAAGCCATTCCTCGCCGAGCTGCTCCGTGAGAGACTGCTGGGCCTTGAGCGCAGCGAGGCGCGTGTGCGGGTTCTCGCCGCCTGCGGTCTTGCCGCTGGGTCCGGCAGAGGGGCGGAGCAGACGCATCAGCACCGTGTTGAGCTCCTTGTGGTTGTCGGTGGAATCGGCAGCAACGGCGAGTTCCGTGAGGGCGGGCACGGCTTCCGCGATGACGATGGATGCCGTCGACGAGTTCTTGGCGTGGGCGAGCTGAGAGATCAAAGGCTGTGCGATCACCGTAAGGTGAGAGGGGGATTGCCAGAATTCTTAAACAAGTCAGCACACTGCGTCAGAAAACATTTGGGGTAAACATACCGTCTTGGTCATGCTCAAAGGAGTTCTTGAGCATGCGCATCGTGGCCAACCACAGGCTCTTGGTGTCCTGGTTCGCGGGGTTCGCCTTGCCCAGGACAGAGACCACATTTTCGAGGATGTAGCTCGAGTAACCGGTAACGATGGACTGCATTGGTTAGCACAAGGCCGAGTCGGGAAATCAAAGGAGAAACATACCTGGAGGGTACCAAAGAAGACTTGGAGGAACCTGTAGAACGTGGTAAGGCGTGCCAGACTGCCTCGGGCATCCTTCTTCGGAACACCAGTGGTCGCCCACTCCAGCAGCTTGGTGAAGATAGGGCGGAATGTCGTGTCGTTAAGCTTGTAAATCATCTTGATCGTGACTTCGTTGATGATATCCTCGATCTCGTCCACATCAGACAATTCGAAGTTGGCCTGGGTATCCAGAGATACTTGTTCGCGACGCAGGTCGAATGCCTTGAACAGGATGCTGGTGAGAACTGAAATGTTCTTAACAGTCGCAGACTTCTGGTGCTTCTCGATAGCAAGGCTAACGACGCCCAGAGTCTCTCTCGTAGCGTCGGGGCCTGCCTTGACAGCATGCTGCCAGTTGCGATCGATAGCAGCGAATGTAGCAGCCACATCAACTTTGCGTGCCATGAGTTGGAGAGCTTCTTCACGGCTCTCATCCTCAATACCCTCAGAAACAGCAGACTTGTAAGAGAGAACAAGAATCTTGTCCAGGTGAGAGCCAGACACCATGAAGGGGATATGGATGAAAAGTGCAGAGAAGAAAGAGAAGACGGCGTCGTGCAGGCGTGCATTCTCCTTTCCATCTTCCAGACTCTGCTCGAGCAGGGCAAGGGAACGGCTGAGGGCGTCAGGAAGCGCGGGAATCATGGCCTCTCCAAGGACCTCGGCCATAGATGCGAGACACAAGACACCCATGATGCGAATGCGCTCATCATCCTGTCCAATGCAGGCTTCGCTAGCAACCACTTGGGCAGCATGGATGACCTTGGTCGGCTCCTTCCGGCCGTACTTCTCGGCAATGCGATCGATACAGGCCACTGCAGCGTGCTTAAGGAGAATGTCTGGCGATGACTGGACGATGTTGACCAGAGTGGGCAGGAAGTCGAGCATGCGGTGTTGCGAGGCACCGTCGCGTTCAGGATTCTGACGGAGGCGACCTTCCAGAAGTCGGAGAACCTTACGACGCAGTTCGTCGTTGCGACGTTGCAGCAGCACCTCAATCGTGTCGAGGAAGTCCACGAGCGACAGGGTACCAAACAGAGCGCTGAGAACATCGCCGCTGGCCTGGCTGACAGGCTTGACGTTCTGCATGGATTCGCCAATGGCCAGGACCTGCTCCAGAATGCGAGAGAAAAGCGTGCGGATCTGTCCAACAACCTTGTCTTCCTCTGTTGCGAAATCCTTGGCCATCTTCACCTTCAGAGACGAGTGCTTGAACAGATAAGCCAGTGCGCGAAGCAAGTCAACTGCAACCTTCTGGGGTTCGCGGCCATCGTCGCTACCAATGCCGAGAAGAACTTGGGAAATACCGGGCTTGGAGCTGAGTGAATCCTTGACCAGGTCCAAGTATTTGCTGTATGTCTATTGAAGAA